TGTGCTTACAAGCAAATCAAAACTGTTTCTACAAGGCCTTTACACATACTGTTGTGCAACAAGAACATCAGCTGAAACAAAAATATGGAGACATATTTATGAACCGTTAGGTCTCAGAAAATGTAAATCCTATTCCTTGTCTTTACATCGTTGAGATTCACTATCTGACTGTTCTCTCTGATAAATCGAGCCATGATGTATTGAGAAATGTTACAACAATCCTTTAGTACCAAAAAAAAGGATAATATCCATGCCTTAGAGTAGCTGTTCCCAAAACAGCACAGCTAGCTCATCTACATCATCCTTCAGCTTTAATAGAAATATTTACTACCATTAACGTACACTAATCTTTTCTCCCTAATACCACACCTTTATTATTTCCTTGTCCATAGGCTGCGTTTAAGACAAACACATAAAAATAGTACTTAAATAAAAAACAAAGCCATGTGTCACACACAAGCACAAAATTGAAAGATGCGTGATGGAAATAATTTATTGCCTATAAAACGTTAAAAAAAAAAGTTTTAAGTTCACATTTTCTGTGTGATTTTAAAGGTGGTGTCATGTTTCAGAGGTAGTGTGTGTAAAATGTAATACAGAATTTGAAAGAATTATTTACTTTGTGCAGTAATACAGTGAAACGTTCACCAGAACCCAAGCACTGACCTGAAACCATTTTCCTTCCAGGAACATTCTTCAGCGTCTCTTTTATCGAAGAGGTTTGCTCATTTGTTTCAAAACCACAACCACCACAAGCCCAAGTTTCTGCCCCGTTTGTGTCTGTCCTCTGACCAAAATAGGCAAAAAAATACTCTTTACTCACAACAAAACCCTATTCTCGCCCCGGAAAAACCAGTTTCGCAGTACCACTTATTCCTTCCTTTGCTCCTAACCTTTCCCTTTCCACGTTTGGCCAAGGTGAAGGATCTGGGCAGTGGGACTGGAGGTAGGAAATCAAGCTTTTGGTTGTAACGTTACAAGTTAGGAATTCTTCATGTTGTGGATATTCTGTGCTATTCCTTTTATGCATGTGATTGTTTCTCCTTATTCTATCGGTATCCTGAGACCAACAGCCAGCTACGACTGGAGTACCAAGGGAAAAGTTAGTGCTGGGCACTGGTTTCTTTTTAACGTTCTGAAGAAGATGGGAGTGCAACAGGAGATCTCAAATCGGAGAGCCGACTGATTTCGAGCAGTAATTTCCATTTCCACAAGAAGGATGTCCACGATACTGTTGATTTCTCCTGTCGTTTCAACTGCACGACAGCAGACACCGCTGCCTCCGTCTGGCAAATGGACTGGGTGAGCTGCTTCCCAGTTTAAGAAGATGAAGGTGGAATGGGTACATTCCTTTTTGCGCTCAGAGGATCCCGAAGCCCACGACCTGCTTGTCGTTTTCACACTTTTTATTGCCTTAGTGAAAAAGAAATACTTGGAAAGATTAAAGTGCAGTGCTGCTTCAGGAACCAAGCACTCCGGAAAACCGACGCTTGCACGGCACGCCTGACTGTGCACTTCCAAACCTGCCCAAAATTCACCTATTCGAATATTTACTATTTCTCACTCCTCTTAGACCTTTAGGCTTGACAGAAGCATCATCTGCAGGGGAATGAAAAGAGGCAGAGCTTCGGGAGAAACAGCTTCCTTAAGTCTAAGCAAGCTTGCTACATCAAGGACTCCCTGCTCCCTAGGGAGAGCGAGCGCCCCGTCTCTGGTGGGAAGTGTCTGCTCGGAACCACCTTTTTCCACTTTGGTTTCTTCAGAAGGACACGCTCCGTCCCTCACGTCCTGACAGATGCCTTAGAAACAAACAGTGCCAGGGAAGGCATCTTTGAGGAGCAAAGCACACGGGCACCTTCGCAGGAAGGCGACAGAGACGCCGACGCGCGGCAGTCCTGCCGCAGTGGTTACCGGAATTACGGAGCCAACCAGCGGAACAGCGAGGGGGCTTACTTCTGTCCCGGAACGCACCGCGGCATCGGCTTTATCTGTCGTGGGAAGTCCATGCAAATGATGAACTAGCACTTAACGAGGGCTTTCGTTATCATCCTAGGCTCCGGGGAGAGCTCTAGCAGCCTGCCAGTACCTAAAGGGGCTACAGGAAAGCTGGAGAGGGAATTTTTACAAGGGTGTGTAGTGACAGGACTTTGGACAATGGATTTAAACTGAAAGAGGGGAGATTTAGATGAGATCTAAGGAAGAAATTCTGAACTCTGAGGGCAGTGAGGCACTGGACCAGGTTGCACAGAGAACTGGTGGCTGCCCCATCCCTGGAAGAGTTCCAGGCCAGGTTGGATGAGGCTTTGAGCAACCTGGTGTAGGTGGAAGGTGTCCCTGCCATGGCAGGGGGGTTGGAACTGGATGATCTTTGAGGTCCCTTCTGACCCAAACCGTTCTATGATTCTATGAGCAGAGGAAATAACCACCAACCAAATCCTAAAGTGTCACGGACCCAGAGAGCCATCCCCAGCGTTTTCCTTCATCTGAAGAACTTTCAGAAGTTCATCTGGAAATGAGTATCCTGTGACTGTGTATCAAGACAAAGTCGAAAAGGAATATGCCCACTTCTCTCACACCGTTGAGAAGAGAACGGTGTCCAACTGAACACGTCACACGGATCGGGATGCAAACTGCAAACTCAATTAGCACGTTGTGCTGCCTGTTAGGGACACAAGCAAAGCAAAAACCCCTGAATTACAAAGCACGTGTGTGGTGCCAGTCTGACGTGCCCTGCTTGGACATGGATTTTGCCAACTCTCCCGGACGGTTGTTATGTTACAGGAGCTCATAAGCTGCTCTTCAGCCACTGTGCTGCAGAGCTATTGTTGCTGCAATGATTTATAGCACCAGTAATGGTGACAGATCATTAAGATTTTTGTTTTACATATGGCAGGAAATAAATACAGATATTGGAAAAAACCCACGGTATTATCTTACACCGCATTTTGTGAAACAGGAATATAATTTATACGTGTTCTTCCTTAATATCCTGTAATATTGTCAAATGAAAACATGACTACTTCGTTTTGTCTTGTAAACCTACAAGAGAAAAGGGCCAAAGAAAAACGTGCCCACAGGGATGACGAGGGTGTTGACTGCAGCTAGTTTCAGCTGCACATCCCAAAGAGGATTCCAGCTTCCTTGAGAACAGGGACTCACATAATTGCTTGAATCTGGTAGTACTTCATTCGAAATGAATTCCTTTGATTTGCTTGGCATAGGAAATAAAAGCAAGACATAGCAAAATATGAATCATCAATGAAAGTTTTTCTTGTATAAAGGTGGATAACTTAATTGACCATGAAATCAAGAACTCTCATTAAGAGTATCCTGCCTTTTGTCATGGGAATTTAAGTGGAAGCAGCAGGAAAACAGGGTCCAAATAGTGGCAAATCACAGTACCATCTTCTTTTATTCCAGCAAAGCTCAGAGAAAACAAGAGGCTTCATTGTCAGTGGCACAAATTTCCTATCTAGAGAGACCAGTAATAGAAAGCATTGTTAATCCAGTATAGAAAACCCTTTATAAACGATTTTTTTCAGTGAGTAGAATTGAAGGATAGTATTGTGATCTCTGCTCACAAACCTAAATTAATTTTAGGTTGGTGGTCATTTCAACAGGCATGCAAAACACTGCTCCTCCTTTGAGGAAGGCACTAAGGACGTGTCTGCCAGCCAGGAGGTGACCTGATGAGTAACCTACCACTTACCTCCTGGTTACACTGAGTGCCTTCCCTCTCTCTCCTGGGATTCTACTCTGAGTTTTAATGCCTGAACTCAAACACAGGCCCAGCAGCTTGCTTTTGTGGGGTTATTCTGCGGAACAGACGGTAAGAGGTCTTCTGGAAACCAACTGAATTGTATAGCAGCCACAACTGTGAAACTGTTTTGTTTTGTTTTTCAAAACTGCTACTACCCGTTATGCAGCTGGCATTTAGCAATATTGTTAGAAGTTCCCCGTGCCTGAGGACAACACAGAGACAGAAAAAAAAAAAACCCTGACAGAACAGAGCTGACTACTGGTACTCAAAAAAAAGCTGTAGAAGTGATTAGGGAGGAACAGACCAGACTGAGAAAAACCTAAAATCATTAAGTTAATCCCAGTATTCAAGGGAAAAAAAAAAAAACATCAACAAAAAGGTGTTATTTCACCAACCCTCTGGATTTTCTGAGCTACATCTTGGACCTCCCACTGAAATTAAGGGGATTACTTACGGGACTGCATGAATAAGGAGTCAACAGAGTAAATTATTATTTGGCATAAAACTGAAAGATCAGGGTTTTTACCAGACTGTGAAGGTATCTGTTTCAAAAATGCTTGCTGAGGAATATTCAGATTAGAAGTTATAGTGTGTCAGTAACACGGGCATGCACCTACATGCCCTACTAAATTTAATCTGAACGTGTCTGCACATCCATTTAGTCAGATGAGCAAAGGGATTCAATGTCAACGACAGCTGGGAAAGAAGAAATTCATTTCAGCCACTGCCTGCAATCAAGCTCACAGTTCAGAAATGGCACCTGGCAGTTGCCAAAAAATTCGTCAGGCAAGGCTAGTTCAAAACCAGGTCACATTTAGAAGAACTGCAAAAACCCAATTCCAAACACTTGAGTATCTTTCAGGATGCAATGACAGCTGTGGATTTATGACAGTATCTTGGTAAAATGGAGCAAAGTTTGTGTAAAAATATATAACCAATTCTTAAAACAATGAACAGAACTTTAGCATTCAGACTCTGACAAACAAAACCTGTATCTACATTCATAAAACTCTACACAGTAGTGTAAACATCAAATCCCATTGCTATTGTGAGAATATCAGAAAGTCGTGTTCTGCAGCTAGCAGGTTTCCCATAGCCATCTAATTTGTTACAACATTTATGACTGCTTCTTTACATTAATAATTTATTGATGATAATTCAAGATTTTCAGTTAGCCTTTCAAAGTTTTTCCACCTATTTTGGTCAGAAAATGGAAGATTCAACAATCTGAAGTCACATAATGAAAAACACTTCAATTTAATTTCAGATTTTCAAAAGGGTTCAAGCACAACTCATAAAAAGCCCGTTATTCTATTTGGATCCCCAATTTTTAGTCCACCTACCTGAGTAAAAATGGGGAAAAAAATAATAAACAGGACTGGCGAGCAAGCAACTCTGAAGAATTGGCTGTCTGTATAACAGGACATTGGTTTTCCATTCTTGGATCCCTGCTCAAAAAGACTTTGCTACAGAGCAAGAGTTATTCTGGAAAGTCAGAAGTTACCCTAACCAAGGCCAAACTGCTAAAAGTGAAACCTTTCCTCACACAGTTCTTTCATTTACCAAAAACAACATTCGAAATTTCTTGACACTGCAAACTGTAGCCATGACATACTACAGTCATCCTTCAGGAAGGTCTACTTCACCTTGGGCTTTCTTGTTTGGACTGAAGAACACTGGAGAGCAAAACGGCGTTCTTTGGAAACCTACATGTTACATGGGGTTTCTTTTTTGTCAATTAAAAAAAAAAAAATAAATCACAAACTGTCTGAGGCATTTTTCTCTGATAAAGACGACAAGCTGAATGAGGTATCATCAGGCTCTGGGGATGCGTGATTGAAATCCATTTCTTCTAGTTCAGGAGGTAAGTCTGAGAGCAGTGCCTGCAAGTAAAGAAATATTTCAATACAGTATTAGGTATGTGTTTTATGTCAGTATTAAATGTCTGTTAAACATGTAGTGAAAAAGCTTTGTTGAGCTTTTTCGGTCAGTGTTGATACTAGATGGGTGGAAAAAAAAAGTCAGTATTGCTGGATATTGAAAGAAAAAACACTGTTGTAGGATGACCTACCTTATAACAATAATCTCAGAAGTTACTTAAGTTGTTGTGGAAATAGCTCACCAATTTTTTTTCCCCAAACTGGATGAAACCAAATTATTTATATTCGCTTTTTTTATTAATATATTTTTAACATGCAAAAGCTTTAGAACATATATAATCATGTTATACTGTGATCATGCAGGCAACAGAACTAAATGCTGCATACAAGATCATCGTTTCAGTGATTTATTGCTTTATCTCCAAGACTTCAATTTTACTTCTCTTTATATTCAGTTCACGTGGTTTTAGGAAAAGAATATGGAAAACAACCATAAGCCAAATTTATTTTGGATATAAAAGTGCTCTAAGTTTCTTTCTCGCAAGTTACGGTTTCTATTTTTACACCTGAAAAACTGCAGATTGCAAAGGTTAAAGGGGAAAAAAATAAAAGCAACAAAATCTCTTCCCAAATAAAGCACAAAATGTTACTCCTTCAAGGCATGATCCAACCAAGCATTAGAAGAAGTGCTATGCATTAAATGCAGTGCAATAAAACTGAAGCAGCCTGTATTTTTTCCCTGGATCTCATATCTTAAATGTCACAACAGAAAAATCCCAGTCCCTCGGGGTACACTGGTGCTCTTCTTGCCCCTTTGTAACAGTTGCACGTCTTTGTCTCGGTCATTGCTTGTGAAGTTGCAAGATCTTTCGTTCCAAGTTCAGCTTTTCTTTGTAAGATGTTCAGCACAACACTGCCCTAATCATAATTTAAGCCTCTAGGCACTATGGAATAAAACCAAGGGAGCGCCAGACCACAAAATGACAAACATTTTCTATGATTAAAACCTACTTCAAGACTCACCTGCTGCTGTTCTTTATCATCTGATTTAATAGCAAGTATTAAACTCCGAGTAAACGTCTGTAGTTCAAAATACTTCTGCTTGTGATTCTCCAACTCGTTCTCAATGAATCTGACTTCTTCATTCTGCGGGGGAAAATGACATAAAGTTCTGAAAATCATAAACAGCACTGCATCACTTCAATGACACCTAAACATACTTGTGTTATAAAAGTTTTTAGTGAAAATGCATAAAAATGTGTTTCTATCATGTTTGTATCATGGACTGTCAGCTCACCAGTCTCCCCAAGATCTCGTGGGTTACAGAATAAATAGGAATATATTTAATAAATGGAGAAGTATCAATAATGTGCATGCCGTGGCTAAAAAGGCATTTTTCTGACCTTTGCATAAATGTTACTGTACTTGCAAAACACTTAAAATAAAAATAACAAATTTCTCAATTAAAAATTCTGATTTGATAAGTACTTCAGTTTATTCCAAATCTCTCTTCTCCTTCAAACTTACCAACTGATGGGCGCGCAGGATCAAAACGCTAAATCTGCTGATCAGTACAGAGTTAAAATTCATTTTCTCTGGTTATTTACCTTTAGTTCATGTAACCTAAAAAACCAGTTCACTTTTCAAGATCAAAGTCACTGTGCATTTTTGCACAGTAGCACCAAGTGTCAGCAATGCACAATAATGACTGAACATTTAGGTTCACAGATAATTCAGGTTAAATATTGCATTTACTGAGGGATATCCGAGGCAAGGAGGAACCCACCCTGGCTCACACAACCATAGGATTAATTAGGTTGGCAGTTTTGCATATAAAATGTTCCTTGATGGCTGGTTCTGGTGGAAGCAAATTACCTAAGCGAATTTCGACAGTGAATTTACAAACTGGCATTTTGTTTTCATGATGAAAATACTTTTTTTAGTAACATAGAACTATGCTCTGATATTCACCTTATCTTTGCTAAGCCGTAATTCAACGGTAGCTGGTGGGAAAAGGTGAGACTACGGGATGAACCGGATGGTTTGTAACAAGCCTTTACAAATGGCTGTTGTTTGGGGTTTTTTCCAGAAAATTCCCATTGCTCCCCATACTGTTTCAGGTTATAACAGCTCTGAGAATAAGAAAGAAGCATTTGGGCTTCCATAAGAAAATTAGCTTAATGCATTTCTTTCAGATGGAAGCTTAGAAGTTGCCTATGGAGCGATGGATGTTGCCCTGCCGAAGAAGGAATTCGGATTTACGCCGGAAACAGAGACTAATCACTGATGTCACACCACAGCCCAGCAAACACGGCTCGCTGGGGCACGCTGTCACAACAAGCCTTTCGCTCCGGTGACAGGTGACATTAAGAAAAGGTCATTCCCTCTCCATATTCATTCTCCACTGCCCTTACCAGGAAAACACTGCTTGAGGGAGTGATTTTGGTTCTGAAAAGACAATCTGTTTATTATTTTGGTAATCGATTATCATTAGCAGAACATACCTGTTTTCTACGTAAAAAATTGGCTACATATGTAAAAAGATGCTCAATATACACCATACAACTGTGGCAACTCTTACGAGGGCACAAGGACACACATAACCTTTACCATTTGGCAGAAGACAGCAGCTGTTGGGTATCCAACTGCTTTTCCCCCCTCCCACAACTACTGCTTCCAGACATGTTCTACACATGTGAGAAGGACTTCTTCTCAGACCTCCCAACTTTATTAGTGGATTCCAGCTGTTACGCCCCTTTCCAGAGCTGGCAGCATCACGCTGCATGTCAAAGCGTGCCGTAACACTCCAAAGAACAATTCTTGCACAAAAAGACAGTTTTTTAGAGGCTAAATATATTGCTTTTGGGACACGTGGTGGGAGCTGTAGATGGCTGCAGCCAGAGTAATGTAATGCTCTGTGAAAATGAGGTTTTTCCTGCCTCTCCCTAGGATGCACTACAGGTAATTGGGCTGTAAATGAGATGAGGAGACATGACTGAGGAGATGATGTGCAGTACCCTGATAAGAGCAGAGGAGTCCAAGGCTCTCACATGCCTTCACTGAATTCCTTACAGATACACCCATCTGAGCGTTCCGTGGAGGACTACCCTGCTTAACATTTCATCGTCCAATGACTCACCTTGTAATCCAAAAGAGAACTCATTTGATCCACTTCCGAATTACTTATCATATCGCTTTCTTCATCATCTATAATTTCTATTTTCTGAAACAGAAGTAAACGATTCATTCCAAATATCCGAATGCACAGATTAGACAAACAAACATCAATCCGTATCTCAAACTGCCACGAGAGGATGAGGCTAACAGGACCTTCCGCTTGCTCGTGAGAAATTCTGAGCTGTGGAGCCCCCATTAGATGGCAATCATGCACCTCAGCCACAAGAGCCAGGAAGAATCCGACTGCAAGTGTGGGTGCTGCCATGGTGACTCAGGCTGTGTATGAGGAGGAGCTCTGTGTCCCCATGCCTTTGGGATGAAGATGCACACTAGAGATCTCATCTCAGCCAGCAAAAGCCTGCCCTTTATTCTGTAAGCTTTTTGTTGAAGACCTCCTGCAGGGCGAAGAAGGTTATGAATGTTTATTCCTCTAGAGCAAAACAGACATTATGGGAAGTGACAGGCAAGTCCTAACTGCCCTACTTCTTGCCTCAAAAAAAAAGAGTTCTCCTTTGGCCACAGCGCAAGGCAAACGCCCTGACCAGCAGAGGATGTGGATACAAAGGGCAGTTCCAAATGCACCCACGTGGACATTTTCACTTAATTCACAAAATTCCTTGGGAGCTTTTTATATTGGGTTTCTGAAGATATCCGAAGTTCAACGTTAAAGGCCAATCTTAACGCTGTTTACAACTTAGAAACACACGACGATCGTGTCTCAAGTTTTAAAAGATTCACTTTTACGCTGTTTACCACTTGCATGTTCTGGTTTTCTTCCTAACAGAAAACCTTCTTACGTAAGAAAATTACGTTATAAGATTATTTCCATAGGAGAAAATGCAAAATTTACACATTTTTAGTGCACCTATGAGATTTTAATTTTGATTCATATCTAAGACAGATCTCAAACAGATGGAATGAACTTGAATTAGATAGTGATGACTGGCATTTTTTATCAAGAACTCAGCAGGATGACTGCCCAGATGAAACTACAGATTTCATTATATTTTTGAGAGGGAAGCAGTGGTAGTGTAAGAAGAGAGGTTTGGGCTTTTTTTTCTTGTTTAACTATTTTTCATTGTTTTGACAGTTGTAAACATTTATGAGACCATATCCAATAAGTTAAAGTAATTTAACTATGTTTTTGAGTATACTGTTTAATATAACATAGGCGAGGGCCACACTGACACGACACACTTTAACGGTTAGTTCCTGAGATGTTATTTTAGAGGTGTCTTCTCTGCAGCACGTGTGTGTCTTCTGTCTGTCTGCAGGCCAGTCATCAGAAATTTCCTTCTAATGAGCAAGGAGAAGTCCTTAAGGGAGGTTAACAGCCTCTCACTGGTAGTGCCCACCAAGCTCACAAGTGTGTGTTGAAGGCAGAGAGGGTTAAACCACATTTCCTGTGCTTCAGTGTCTGGAAACCCAGTTGAAGTGATAAGATTCCAAAGGCTTAATGTTACAAAGATCTGCTGCTATATCATACCCTGAGTAACACTGTGATTCAAATGTTTTTGGTTTTAGACTCAGCTTGAGGTAAGAGTCTCTAAATAAATACCAAACCTGCACACTATCTTTTTTATAATTATACATTTTAAGGCAGTAGGGGAAAGAACAGATTAGAATTTCAAATAAGAAGACTGTATCTCTTACGTAAGTATGTTGGTCCAATTTTAACTGCATATATTTTAAATTTTTTTTAGTGTTTTCAGAACACAGTTATAAAAAAAAAATACTCTTTTCCCCTGGTTTATTATATCAAATTATATAATGCTGGAGTTCAGGTAGACTGGAGAACTGAGTCTCTTGGACATGATCTTTGCAAACCTTTTACCTTTGTCATTTTACTTTCTGCATCTCCACAGTAAATGCACCAGCCCGAAACTGAGAGTGATTGTATCTAAGGTGAAAGCAGGCCACGAGGGTAAACAGAAGGGAAAAAGGCAGCTGCTTCTATTCAGGCAACCACAGAGAACACGGCCGTGGGATTTCAGTTTACACTGAAGATGATCATATATTAACAAAAGAAAGAAAAAGTTCTCTCCTCTCTCTGTCTTCAGAGGGAAGAGAATCTCCTGTTCGTGCTCCCACCTCAGGTTGTGTGTGATTAATGTGACACAAATGTTCTTGTCATGTTCTGAGCTACTGTCGTTTAATCTCTGACTGCAATAAGTGCAATTGGGTACTGGAACCATCACCTGTTCATTCTGCAGATAACTGTTAAGATGAAAAATTACCCTACCACTTGGGGTCTTCTCTCCTCTTCCTGCTCTCCTTTCTTCTAATTTGAGAGAAGGCAGGCTAAACAAAGGGGATATATTGCATTATTTGCCATGACTCCTCCCTCTGTCTTTCCTTCCTTGTCTCACTGCAGTCAATTAAAAACAGCAAGAACAACTGTGTTTGACTCAATGTGAATGCGAGTGAGAAAACAAGAAACATCTAAATAATGCTCTGCAAAGTGTATGGGAACGAAGAGCACATATCCACCCCAGTCTGATCTCAGATATTCCAGGTTAGCTACTGGAGAGGAAGCACTAGACATACCTGACACTCTCAAGGCTACAGAAAACCATTTTCAATCATTCTTCTGGTTTCTCATTCTTACTGTTTTACTATACTAGGTACTTACAGAGCACTACTCAAGTGTTGTGCTTTGCACTCCAGAAAAAGAACACCAGATTGTTTTAATACAGAAAAATTGGTGTAATTCAGCTTCCACTGAATATGCATAGCTCTATGTTTTAGTACTTTTAGCACCATTTCTTTTAGTGCTCAACCAATCAGGAAGGACACTTAGCACACTCATCACCTAGTGAAAAACACTAGTGTTAGACAATAACCTCAACATTAGCAATTAAGGAGTGGAAAAGGAAAGGTATACATACCACATTATCAGTAGATACTGGATTCTGGTCATCATCTTTGTGACCAATTTCTTCATTTTGAAGAGCTTCATTTGTCTCTTCTGCAGAAATAAATTAGTTTTTCAAATTTCATTCAGATTTTATGCTGAAGGAACATTAAAAGTCTTTACCACTAAATATGTCACATCTGCTAGATACAAAAGCAAAGTCATATTATCAATGTCTATTCATAAAAATACAATGTTTTATTAAAAAAAGAAATCATATCAAAGGTATTTCAGGGCAAAGTCACGCCAAATGCTACCTGAAACAACAGGAAAACTGTCAGTTACTCTCTTGCAACGCACCAAAACCTTCCTATTTTTAGGTTCAGGTTGGAATATTCAAAGGTGATGAAGATTTTCACACCAGAGGTGCCCAGAACTTTTTTTAAAATTTATTAAAATAAATTAATATATAAAAAAATCCTGCATGCCCATAAATTATAGGGGACGTACCAGAATCCCACCTCCTCCTTGCATGCACTGATTAGTTTCGAACCAAAAACTGATCTAGCAGATTATTTCATTCTTGTATGGCAATTGCTTATTCCTAGTGACTCTAAGCTGCTCTCTTATGTATAAGCAAAGTACACACTTGAAAACAGAGCAAATCTTATCCTTAAAATTCAGCCACAAGCACCAGATGATTCTATCAGCCCTGACTATGGCCAGCACGAAAAAAAACAAGTCAGAGAAGCATATTCATCCCTTTGATTAAGTGTGTTTCTCAGATTTACCTTAATTCTCCACATTTAACATATAGTCAATAAGAAAAGAGTTGATAGACACAGCAAATCATAAAATAAACCAAAACATAGAGGACAAGACAGCTATAATAAACAACTTAAATGATGTCATTAACAGCTAGGCTATTAATTGGAAAGACACTGCTTCCAAGTGCTTGTATAATTACAAAGTTATGCTGAGGGCAGAGCTTGCAAGAAAAGGGTCAAACAGCCCAGCTATCGCATCTAACCAGGAGAAGAGGCACAGTGAGTGAATGGGCAGCAAGGGTTCACGTGGGGCACTGCAAGAGGACAGCCAATGATGCAGGGAGATGTCACCTCCACCCAAACACAGGGGTAATGGGATTTAACTGGAGATTACCAACATTTGCAAAGCGAGGATAATATTTAGGCCAGACCATACAGAGATAGTTAATTGTTTTAAATAACTTTTCTACCAGTTAAGTATCTCTAAACTGAGCAAATTTTATTCGAAGTTGTTGCAAATAATTTAAGCTGCCACTGGTCACAACTTCAGAGGACAATTTCTGCTAGCAGCAAAAGCAAATGGGTTCGAATGGGGGAACTGTGGAGCAGGGATATATGGCCCTGTCGGGACACTCGGAGCCACGGAGGTCACGGAAGATGCACCTCAGGGACTCAAACACTGGAAAGCACCAGTCACTCACCCTGACAGTCACCCCTTGGATTCGACAGTCAAATGAACCAAATCCCTACAGCACTTCCAACTCTTTAAATATTCATCCTTGGCTAAGACAAACTGGCACAGCTACAACGGCCTCCACAGAGCTGTGTTCATTTACACAAGGTGTGGATTCAGTTAACACACGTTTACAAAAGGTAAGGCATTATGACAGCTTTAATGCTTCATTTTGCATCAGAGTACAGCTTTATTTTTCTTCCAAAATATTTAGACACTATATTTTAAAAGCAAGTGCCATCAACACTTTCATGCTAATTAAGTAACTAAAAATACCTTTTTTCCCTGTCTTTGAGAGGGGTTTTTCATTGTTGTTTTGTTTTTTCTTTATAAATTAGGACCAAAAGTTATAGTTCTCAAACATTAAAACAATCACATATCTGTGACTGAATAGTACACGTGATTATTGGTGGAAATATTTTCCAGGAAGTTCAAAATAAGCTGAGCTGCAGCAGTGAAATCTACTCCTTTGAACTGGAGAAATGAATAGAAATAATTCTTGTGGTAGAATAAAGGAATGAAAGTGGGATTCCTGGATGCTGTGGAAATCCTATAGTTTTCTTGCACCTCCTTAAGCTTTGACTCTAATAATCTACTCACAGTCTTACAGCTGTATCTTGTTTTATGAAAGCCTTTAGTTCAATAAAAGCGGTGTTCTTCCTCACTTTAAGCTACAGAGAATTCAGACTCTTCCCCTGTCACCATTTTCTTTCAAGCAGATCTGACTAAATCAGTTTCTTCCACACCTCAGGCAAATCAAGGACTCTTAGATTCTGCATCTCACTTGGGTTTCAATCACTTGACCCATTTCTTTATCACCTTCTTCTCTTTACAGCAGAATATGACAAAGCTATCAAAAATTCATTCCCAGCAGTTCTCCATTTTTCTGGTTCTTTCCCTTAAACTGTTCAGACAAAATGACAAGATCAAGTCTGGCGTATTAAGCTGCAATAGCATCCACTAGATGAGACTTTCTTTTCGTTTAGAGAGCAAAGGCTTTATTGATCTCATCTAATCAGAAGCTCTGGGAGCAATTAGCTGAGCTTGTGCAGCCAGTGAGCAGCAGCTCATCTGCTCGGGGCCCGGAGTGCTGATGTACAGGAGGGAACGGGAGAGATCGATTTCACGTGGCCATGCGGTGCTGGGGGTGGAGTAAAAGGGAATTACTCTGAGACACTTCTCACTGAAGATCATGGGGTTTACTGAGAACACACAAGCACCCTGGTATGTGCAGTACTAAGGCTTCCAGTAGTCCCCTGCTACTGCCTTTGATCTTTTCTGTGGTTTCTATTTGCTTGTCAGAGACCACGTACATGCTGCAGATGGCTTCACGGCAGAAGTTCTGCCACGCTCTGACACACCGTGAAGCTCTTCTAGCTCAAGACTAAGTCTGAGCTAATACATCTTCTAGACGTGTCTCATCATCAGGAGTTTAATAGCACAAAACCTGTAACTCCACAGCTGTGGTCAGCTCCAAGCGGGCACGTTCACATGCATTAGTGCTTGTTTAGATGAGGACTCTTGGTGTGACTCAGGCTAACAGAAATGGACATTCAAGTTGGCTGTGTAGAACTGGCCAGTCAACAGAGAGTGTTTTTGAAAACCTGGCTTCCTAGGGAAGTGAGACTTACACATTTGTACCGTCTGTCCACCTCTCAGTTGCACCAGCAAATTGTGAACTTGTCATTTAACTCTGGGTGAATCTGGCAGAAACAGAGGTCTTCTGATAAAAGGTTTCTGCAAGCTTTGTGATAACAGAACCAAAAAAAAAA